CCATTGACTGGGAGACTCATCCCTATTCAGAAATGTTAAAATTCAAAACTGGGCACACAGTGGCTCTCAGCAAACGCGTTTTATTGTCTGAGTTATTAGCGTCTCTAATCCCAAACTAGCAAGGACACAGAGTAGTTCCATAAATATTTGTTGAATGAATAAGTGAACAAATAATAAACAAACGTTTGGACAGCATGCCACCAGCTCTGCTTGCCCTCGGTATCTTACATATAAACCATCACTTTCCTACAGGTCATAAAAGGGAAAGGAATTTGTCCGCGAAGCGGAAGGACAACGCTGAGGTCTTTGTTCCCAGCAGACCTGGGCCAAGCCTGACTCCCCAGCCCCCTGCCGTGTTTCCAGACCAGGAGAGGATGTGCTCCAGTAAGAGTTTTGGGGCCCCTGAGCGGGGAGCAGAGCTGGGGTGGGTCCCTCTCTGGGGTATGCGAGGGGAGGCCTCGCCTCATTACCCCCTGTGCAGGCTGACCTGACCTTTCGCAGATGTGTTAGGGCTCTCCAGAGAAACAGAGCCAGAAGGATCTGGCTGCAGAGAGAGACAGATTGTGATAAGGAAATGGCTCACGCAGTGACGGAGGCTGGCAGGCCAGGCCACAGGTGGGCCAGGAGGCTGGAGAGCCAGGAGGAGTCCGTGTCCCAGTCCGGAGGCCACCGGGCAAGAGATGGAGTCCAAAGACAGTTGCCAGAGAAGTCTCTTTTTTTTTTTTGAGTTGGAGTCTCACTCTGTCACCCAGACTGGAGTGCAGTGGCCACTCCCGGTCACCGCAGCCTCGACCTGTTGAGCTCCGGCAATCCTTCCACCTCAGCCTTCCTGGAACTACAGGCACGCGCTACCATGCCCTGCTATTTTTGGTTTATAGTGGAGATGAGGTCTCGCCAAGTTGCCCAGGCAGGTCTCAAACCCGGGCTCAGGCAATCCACTCACCTCAGCCTCCCAAAGTGCTGGGATTACAGGCTGAGCCACCGAGCCCGGCCTCTGAGGTTAATTCTTAATCATCAACCCTGACTCAGAATACTGAACTCAATGACACCTGCCTTGGTCAGCAGCTGCCATGGACTGTTCTTTCTACCAGGCCATGAGTGGGAGAGTGGACTCTCACCAACAGCATCTCGACTGCTTTTGGGGAAGGACAACTAACTGTGTGCCTCATGCAACTGAGTAAAAGGCATGGTAGTCACTACGGTTGGGCTGAACACTAGCTCCCTCTGTTGGCACAAAGATATTAGTGCCTTGGCTATTCGGAAGCACGGCCTTTCAGGAAGCCTGTCCACTTCAATGTGTTTCTTCTCTCATAGCACGAGTTTTTAGCTTTTCCTTTGTCTTGTTGGCTACAGGCCATTTTGGGATTCTGTGAAAATTATAAATAGTCTCATAAAAATACACACAAACATTTTTTGTGCATAGACAGTTGGGTTGAGAACCTGTGTCTCAGGAAATATGTATGAGATCCAAGCTGGGAGCAAAGGGCACCCCGACTCATGATTTTATTAACTCTTCTAAGTGCAGGGGGAATGAAAAGGCCACTAAGACTCTTCTAGAGGCCAGGGAGTCATGTGTACATGGCACAAGCACTGGGGTTCCTTTCTTGTTGGACGGACTGGCCCTAACGCTTGCCTCTCCGCTCAGTGTTCAGTCTGCCTGATCTTTGCAGCCTCTTGCTGCTATGTCCGGGTGACACCCAGGTCCAGCTACTGGGGTATCATTAGAAAATCTAGTGCTGGAAACTTTGGAAAATAAAGCCCCCAAGGAGGCTTGTAGAGGGGCAGTGGCTGCAGCCGCAAGGGTGTGCCAGCTAAGAGGATCTCCCAGAAAGACCTGGGAGTCCTCTCTAGGAAAGGGGCACACACTTAGAAAGGAAGAGGCAGCCGGGCTCGGTGGCTTAGCCTGTAATCCCGCGTCTTTGGGAGGCTGAGGTGAGTGGATTGCCTGAGCCTGCGGGTTCGAGACCCGCCTGGGCAACTTGGCGAGACCTCACCTCTACAATAAGATAAAAAAATTAGCTGGGTGTAGTAGCGCGTGCCTGTAGTTCCAGCTACTCGGAAGGCTGAGGCGGAAGAATCGCCAGAGCCCAGCAGGTTGAGGCTGCAGTGGCCGGGAGCGGCCACTGCACTCCAGTCTGGGCGACAGAGTGAGACTCCAACTAAAAAAAAATTAAAATTAAAATTAAAATTAAAAAAAAGGAAGGAAGAGGCAGGGGCCAAAAAAAAAGAAGCAAAATGAGCGTAGACCTATCCAGAAGAGTTAAACAGGGGCTAGAGCCAGAAACAGACATCAGCAGGAGAACAGATCTCCAGCGTCAGGAAGCCTGGCATCTGCAGAAGAGCCTGTCTGGGGAACTCCCTTCACGGCCCAGAAGCATAGGTTCATCAGGGACAGCGCTGAAGACAACTTCTCTCCAGACACAGAAGGCAGGAGGGGCAAAAGGAGGGCCCAAGTCTGTCCTGCTACCTTCAGATAGTACCTGCTTGCACGTCTTAGTCCCCAGAAGCCTGGCTATCGAACAGAAGTTATTGAAGTAGGTGCCATGGAAGACTCGAAAGAGAGATTCTTCAGCCCCGGTCCACTCCACAGGCTCCAAGGGGGCTTCCACAACACAGAGCTGAGGTGGAGCCGGACTAGTCTTCTGTTTAGTGGGGGTCTGACAGCGAGAGTTAGCCTCTAAGAGGAGAAGAAATAAGAAAAACAAAAGAAGGCAGAATGCAATTGACATTACAGTGTTACAAAATCAGAAATACTTCATATTGTTGTAATAAGCAGATTAGTTAAGAATGAAAATATTGTAGAAGTAATTAACAGTTTTTAAAAAGTGTAATGTTAAGTGTCAGGCTGTGATCCTGGGTTTACTGGCATCATTGATGGAAAAAAAAGATCTTCATTTTCTGTTCACTGTACCTGAGGAACTGGAGGCCCAGTCATTGCCCGTGTCCCTGTCACTGTCCCCTTCTTTGGCCTCAGCCACAGAAGAGGCTGAAGTGTTGGAGCAGGAAGCACTGACCATGTGGTGCCTTCTCCGGCGACGACCAGAGCACCTGGAGCGGGGATTGTGGAGCATGGCATACTCCTTGGCTCCTTCCTGCAGGGTTCACACGACAGACAGGAAATAGGAATAGGCCCAGAGACCCACAATGATCCCTTCATCACAGACCTTCATGTTCCTCAACAACTGTGCTTAAGTGCAACAATAATCTTTTTATTCCTCTGTATCACATAATAAGTATGAACATATAATAATGACAGCTGCTTCACAAACATTCTACAACTTACAAACTTACTCCTTTTCACGAGAAAGTTGTCCTATAACCTTATTTTATTGTATTTTATTTTTTGAGTTGGGTTCTCACTTAGCTGCCCAGGCTAGGGTGCAGTGGCACGATCGTGGTTCACCACAACCTCAACCTCCTAGGCTCAAGTGATCTTTACACCTCAGCATCCCAAGTAACTGGGACTACAGGCATGCACTACCACACCCAGCTTTTTGTAGAGACAAGGTCTCACTACATTCCCCAGGCTGGCCTCGAGCTCCTTGGCTCAAGAAATCCTCTCGCCTCTGCCTCCCAAAGTGCTGGGATTACAGGCATGAGCCGTCGCGCCCAGCCTGGAACTTGTAAAAAGAAAAAAGTGATGAAATTATTTGCAATTAAAAGAGAATAAAATGACTTAATAACCAAATACGATGCCTCACTGGATGACCCTGGTTTGAAAAAAAACAAAACACATAAAAACAGCTATTCTTTATAGAGCTGAAAAGAAAACTGAATATAGAATGGATAGTAGGGGATACTATAAAATTCTTAATTTTCTTAGGTGTAATAGTACAGCCATCTAAGAAAATGTCTTTAGTTTTACGAGATGCATGCTGAAGAATTTAGCAAACAAGCATCCTAATGTCTACAACCTGTTTTCAAGTGGCTCAGCAAAAGAGACATATACAAAACATATGAATAAAGCAAAAATGAAAAGAAGTTATTAAATCCAAGAAGATTTACCAGACAAAAAATCTGATATCAAATTTTGCTATTTGATAAAAGGATTTGTTATCAAATCTTTTGATTTTTCTGTAAGATTGAAAAGGTTCTTTTTTTTTGAGTTGGAATCTCACTGTCACCCAGACTAGAGTGCAGTGGCCGCTCCCGGCCACCGCAGCCTCGACCTGCTGGGCTCCGCGATCCTTCTGCCTCAGCCTTCCAAGTAGCTGGAACTACAGGCATGTGCTACCATGCCCGGCTAATTTTTGATTTACTGTAGAGATGAGGTCTCGCCAAGTTGCCCAGGGGGGTCTCGAACCCGCGGGCTCAGGCAATCCACTCACCTCAGCCTCCCAAGCACGGGATTACAGGCTGAGCCACCTAGCCCAGCTGAAAAGGTTCTTAATAAACACTTGAATATGTATTTACGTCTAAAATATAGAAAAAGAAAAACTGCATGTAAGTTTCACACACACTCACTCACATTTTGGGCATTCGCAGCATCTTTGTAATACACATACAGGGTCCCAGCAAGACTAATATGAGAAGAACAATGCTCTTTTGATTTACATAAATGCTGGTATGTTGACATAACATGGTATAAAAAGCATGGACTGTGGAGTCAGAGCAGTGCTTGAGTTTCATCACTGCCACACCACTGACTTATTATCAGACTTTGGGCAAAATATGTAACTTCTATAACCCACAGTTTCTTCCACTTCAGGATGTTGTTATAGAATGAAAATAAGACAAGATATGTGAAGGACCTCCCGTGGTATTTGGCATGAAAAAAGCCAATACGCATTAGAAAAAAAATACACAGGATAAAGTCCATTTATTCTTTTGTTTTTCCATATGGCCCACTTTCTAGATGTGTACCCAAGAGTATGCTACTATCTCTCTATTATTCCACTAACAATGGTTCCAAAAGCACTTAGCTGTAGAATCTAATTCTAATAGGTGGCATGGTATAGCATGGGTAATCAAGGTATTATCAAGGTATTTTATTCTTTTGTTTTTTAGTTGGAGTCTCACTCTGTCTCCTAGGCTGGAATGCAGTGGCATGCTCATGGCCACTCCAGCCTCAACCTGTTGGGCTCAGATGATCCTTCTACCTCAGCCTTCCAAGTAGCTGGAAATACAGCCATGTGCCACCACACCCGGCTAATTTTTTGATTTATTGTAGAGATGAGGTCTCGCCAAGTTGCCCAGGCTGGTCTCGTATCCATGGGCTCCGGCAATCCTCTCACCTTGGTCTCCCAAAGTGCTGGGATTATAGGTATAAGCCACCGCACCCGGCTATGTATTTCATTCTTTTTTTTTTTTTTTGAGTTGGAGTCTCACTCTGTCGCCCAGACTGGAGTGCAGTGGCCGCTCCCGGCCACCGCAGCCTCGACCTACTGGGCTCCGGCAATCCTTCCAAGTAGCTGGAACTACAGGCGCGCGCTCCACATCCGGCTCATTTTTGACTTATTGTAGAGATGAGGTCTCGCCAAGTTGCCCAAGCGGGTCTCGAACCCACAGGCTCAGGCAATCCACTCACCTCAGTCTCCCAAAGGTGGGGGATTACAGGCTGAGCCACTGAGCCTGGCGTATTTCATTCTTTGCCTAACTCTTCCTATTGTGTAGAAAGTGAAACTGCCTTTGGCAAGTGCAACAGACCTATTTCCTTCTAGCTCTCATATACTGCCTCTTGCAGGTACAAAGGACAACTTATGCTGCCACATAAGGTCTATCTACCAGGGAAAGGTCCATCTGGTTGATGACATAAGACATTAGTGCCTTCATGTGCTATTCCTCTCATAGTGACTCACATTCAAAGGAAGACAGAAAAGAAACCCCCCCCCACAGACACTAAGCACCAATTCTAACAATATGGTTTCAGACTCTAAAATGTAAGCAAATGACAGTTAACGGTCTTCAAATCATACTCCATCAGACGAACTCTACAGTCTTACTATGTCTGTGACTGGGGAGTTCCTTAAGAGCAAAAGCTATGCTTAATTTGGACTCTGGGACCCTGCAGTGCATGGATGGGCTCACTTGGCTGGTGTTCTGGGGCAGGAAGCCCAGGGGCCATTTCCTGCTCCATTTTCAACAATGTGAACAATGCCAGGGGAGCTGAGGAACATACCAGCAAAAGGAAGCAGTCTGTGCCACATGGTTCTGGTTCAATCTTGATTTCTTTGTTCTTGCGTTTATATACATTAGGGGTGGCATGAAAAGCTGAAAAACAAGAACAGTCGTGTCTCCAGTGGTCTGTCCAATGGATGGGAGGGAATAGAAGTGAATCAGGGAGCTGTTACAGGAGTTAGAATTTGATATCAGTAGCTAACATCAAAGTGCACAACATTTAGTCATTTCTGATATCGACATGATGCTTTCAAAGGTGCCTGGGGCAGTTACATTGCTGGTTAGTCTGTCCCTATCACGCAAAGCACACTGCACTATCATTGAACAACTGAAAAGAGAACTGGCCCTCTGTAAAACCATCATCAGATCAGAGGCCAGGAACTCTACACAATAAACCAGAACAAAGAGAAGCAAACAGTGGCTGGGGATGGAAGAGAGGAGAGCATTGCAAACAGAGTGGCCCCACTCACGGTGAAGGAAGCAGTCATATTTAAAGCAGCGCCGGCAAAAAAGTGTGTGGAAGGAGTGCAGAGACTGCTCTCGCTGCACAGACTTGGCATTGGGGCCATCGATGTTGGGTGTGCACTGAGGCGGAAGTGCATTGGGATCTGACATCTCTGTCAGCTCTCGATACCTATGAAAAAAAGGGAGTTAAGAGTTCCTTCAAAGGCAATGTCCCCTTGGAAGATGTACAGATTGGGTACTGACAGTCACCCAGGTACGGTCTGCCAAGGGAGGATGGGTTTTTTTTTTGAGTTGGAGTCTCACTGTCACCTAGGCTGGAATGCAGTGGCACGCTCATGGCCACCACAGCCTCGACCTGCTGGGCTCAGGTGATCCTTCTGCCTTGGCCTTCCAAGTAGCTGGAACTATGGGCACATGCCACCATTCCCAGCTAATTTTTTTATTTATTGTAGAGACGAGGTCTCCCCAAGTTACCCAGGCTGGTCTCGAACCCCTGGGCTCAGGCAATCCTATCGCCTCTGCCTCCCAAAGTGCTGGGATTACAGGCATGAGCCACTGTACCCGGTGAGGATAGGTGTTTTTTATGGGTCTGGTCAATGAGAGAATGGTGCACAACTCAAGTGGCTATATCACTGTCATCACGCTAGGCTGGGCATATGATGGAAAACAAGGGGAAGGAGAGATTTGGTAAGCACATTCCTGGAGGAACTCTTCAGAAAAGTGGCAGAATCCAAGTTCTCTGCCCAGATTTATTCAAAGTCAGTACACGATGACCCTTAATAGCAAGGGGGCATTTTAGAGGTCACTGAGTAAGCAACAAATAATCAAAGTACAGACAAATCATAATGTACTTTCTACAGAAAGAAAGTGGAGTGTGTAACCCCCCCACTTCCCCCCACAAACATGAAGCACCAATTCTAACAACACAGTTTCAGACTCTAAAATCTAAGCAGATGATAGTTGATGCTCGTCAAATCACACTCCATCAGATGAACTCCACAGTCCTACGATGTCTGGGGAGCTCTTTAAGAACAAAAGCTATGCTTGATTTGGGCTCAAGACTTTTTACTAACCAGAAATAGGCTTGAATAAAAGCTTTGTCCGAGCACTCTGCAATGGCCTGAGTGGGATGGCTTTCCCTACCTCTCCTTCATGTCATCTGGGACGCCATTCTCAGGGAACATTGAGGCGATTGCACTGAAGATCATATCATTTGGGAACTGTTTCTTGGAACTCTTTTTGTTGCCTGAATTGGAAATGACAAAATGCTCTTGAGTGCGATGATGAAAACATTCAAACAAAACTGCGTGACCTTTTTTTCCTTTATTGTAGCATTGTGATGAGAGGTGCTCTGTTAACCTAACCACTGACTGTTTGAAGATCAGGTGCTACCTGGGTTTATCTGACACAGGCCAGTAAATAAGGAAGCCAGAGTCATCTATATATGAACAGCAAAAACCACAGTCCCAATTAGAATCTGGAAGTGAAATGAGGCGTTTTCATGAAGAGCCTTGAATATAGAGGAATCCTATATTCAGGATGTGGATGTGGGTGTCAAAGAACAAGATAGACACTATAGCATGTTATAATAAGGGAGAGACGTTGTGTCCCTGGACACATATTATAAGTAACATATAGTATAATTAAACAATTAAATGTTAAATTAATGAAATATTAATAATATGAAAAAATACTCAAGATATAAGATAAATTGAGGGCTATACAATTTTTTACATGTATATAAATTGCCATGATCCCAACTTCACATAACATATAAATGTATTGATTTACATATATACCTATTTTACGTCTGGAAGGCTATTCCTAAGCAGCAGGACTACAGAGTCACTTCATTTTATTTTCTCCTCTACTACTTTCCATGCTTCCAAACACATTACTCTTATAATTAAAAACAAATAATAATGATTATTTTATGCTACTGTCTTCTTCTTTGCCTAAGTAGCAGCTCTCTCTCTTTTTTTTCAGAGACAAGGTTTCACCATATTGCTCAGGCTCGAACCCCTGAGCTCTCGCCTCCACCTCCCAAAGTGCTGGGATTACAGGCATGAGCCACTGCACCTGGCCAGTCACAGTTCTCTTAAGTTATCAGTTCATAATCATGTTCTCCTTTTAAGTGGACCAAGGAGAAGCACCCACAGCCTTTAAGAAGCAGTAAGCCTTCCCACTGTTTCCTTCTTTCCCATCTCTGACATTTTCTGAGTGGAATAAGGAAGCTGGAGCTTTGTACCTTCAATAGCATGTCGCTTTCTTTTTCTTGTTACTGGCAGATCTTCTTTGCTGTCATCCTGCTTTCCGTCTGAGGTGTCATTGTGCCCTTCCTCATCTTCATCTGAGTACTGATTCAGGGCATCTACCAACTCCAGGAAAACAGCATCACTAATCAGGACAGATCCCGGGATCATCTCTGGAACGAGATTAGAAGCATGAATAGTGGTGGTTGCATACTCCAGAAATCCTCCTAGGCAGGTTTTCTTATATATTCATTCCTGAGGCCCAGAGAGGCAACATATGGACATTTTTATATTAAAAAATCTGGGAATTACAATCACTTAATTGGCAATTATACCTACAATGGTTCAGCTAGCTAGAGTGGAAAATTCAGTTATGGGCTTTATTGGGGTACTTTATGTCCTCAGCTACAAGTCACTCTGTATTTCACAGAAGTATTCCAGCAATCACAAGGAGGACAGAGAAAACCAGGCATGGTGGCTCACACCTGTAATCCCAGCACTTTGGAAGACTGAGGCAAGAGGATTGCCTGAGCCCATGGGTTCAAGACCAGCCTGGGCAACATGGCAAGACCTCATCTCTACAATAAATCAAAAAAATTAGCTGGGCATGGTGGCACACACCTGTAGTTCCAGCTACTTAAAAGATGGAAGGATCACCTGAGTCCACAAAATTGTGGTAGCCATGAATGTGCAGTTGCACTCCAGCCTGGATGACAGAATGAGACTCCGACTCAAAAAAAAAAAAAAATCAAAGGACAACATTTTCCCCTAAAAGTATACTTTATGGGGATATACTATAATTTAGGACAAGGTCTTTGAACACTAGGTGGCGCTGTGGATAAGTAATATATTTCAACAGCATTGCAAGGACATCCACAATGGCCAAAAGGCCAGGGGGCTATTGGTTGGCAAATCCACAGGGAGGCTCTCCTCCTCTTTCCACTTCTTACACACTGACAGCCTTTGCTATAATTGCAACTAATTTTGTTTTTAGGGAATTTGGGTATTAAAACCAACTTCTAGGATGGCCAGGGGATACTTGGATTGAAGAAGTTCAACACAGATGATTCGTTCATTGCCATTCTCAGAGATAGGGAACTGGAGAACAAAATGGTCTTGGATGAACTTATGGAAAACTCCTAAGTTCTAAGATTAAACTTATTTGTACTATAAACGTTCTCTCCAGCCACTGATTACTATCTAATCCTTTAATGTCCTGACTCCTTTTAAATTTTAACTGGGGTATTTTTAATATAAAATGTTAACTCCCAGCCACATGATGAGGTTGAAAGATTTTTCAGTGTGTACACATGGGGCAGAAGACAAAAGCAAGATGATGAGGTCCCAAAGAAGAGGATTCTTGGGCTCAAGCGATCCTTTCACCTCGGTCTCCCAAGTAGCTGGGACTACAGGCACCACCTGGCTAGTTTTTTTTCTTTTTAAAATGTTTTTGTAGAGACAGGACCTCGCTATCCCCAGACTGGACTCAAACTCATGGCCTTAAGCAATCCTCTCACTCCAGCATCCCAAGGTGAGCGTGAGCTTATTTAAATCACCCAAGACCCTGACCCATTCCTGGCTCTTGGTAACCTATAAATACTTTAAGACTGCAGTTAGCTTGATTTTGACAGCCAGAGCACACTGTGGATGTATACAAAATGGTGACATTGATAATGAATTCTGGAAACAAAGCTTGCTTTATCTAGGAAAAAAAAAAGAAGAGGCACTAATCTAACCAATTTCCTTCCCCAGAGCTTAGCGCCACTACCTTCTTCACCGTGGACTTTCCCATCATAGTTATTGATCAGCTCCTCAATAAAAGTCTCATCTTCTTCTTTCACCTCATCTCCCATGTAGGGAATATTGCACAAAACCGTCTCATCTTCTACCTGAAATCAAACCAGATGGGATTCATTCCATGAAGATACTATGCATCTCCTCGTTACAATGTAATAGAATTTTTGCTGAACTTTTTTTGCTTCCTGAGTCTCCTGAAAATGCCTTTGGTCAGTTTCCTGGCCATGATGTTTTGCCAACAAAACTTCAAATGGAAAGGGCAATGCTACTCTTAAAAAACTACCAAAGCCAGGCTCAGTGGCTCAGCCTGTAATCCCGCGCTTTGGGAGGCTGAGGTTAGTGAATTGCCTGAGCCCGCGGGTTCGAGACCCACCTGGGCAACTTGGCGAGACCTCATCTCCACAATAAATCAAAAATTAGCCAGGCATGGTAGCGCTCGCCTGTAGTTCCAGCTGCTTGGAAGGCGGAGGCGGAAGGATCACCGGAGCCCAGCAGGTCGAGGCTACGGTGGCCGGGAGTGGCCATTGCACTCCAGTCTGGGTGACAGAGTGAGACTCCAACTCAAAAAACAAAACAAAACAAAACAAAAAACTACCAAATGTTCAGCTTGGTACCAACAATGGTATTTCCACCAGCACTTAGATTGTGACAGTACATTTGTTTTTCACAGTGCTTCCATCTATTATCTCATTTTTATCCACTAAATACCTTTTTTCTTTTCTTTTCTTTTTTTTTAAGAGTGTCTCACTCTGTTGCCCAGACTGGAGTGTAGTGACACAATCATAGCTCACTATAACCTCAAAAGCGACCCTCCCACCTCAGTCTCTCAAGTAGCAGGACTACAGACATCCACCAGCATATCTAGTTAATTTTTTCATCAATTTTTGTAGAGATGAGATCTTGCTATGTTGTCCAGGCTGGTTTCTAACTTCTAGCCTCAAGTGATCCTCCAACCTTGGCCTCCCAAAGTGTTGGATTACAGGTGTGAGCCATTGCGCCCTGCGACCGCTAAACATCTTTGTGAAATGGGTATGAACAGCCGGGCTCAGTGGCTCAGCCTGTAATCCCGCACCTTTGGGAGGCTGAGGTGAGTGATTGCCTGAGCCCACGGGTTTGAGACCCACCTGGGCAACTTGGCGAGACCTCATCTCTACAATGAATCAAAATGAGCCGGGCATGGTAGCACACGCCTGTAGTTTCAGCTACTTGGACGGCTGAGGCGGAAGGATCGCCAGAGCCCAGCAGGTCGAGGCTGCGGTGGGCGGGAGCAGCCACTGCACTCCAGTCTGGGTGACAGAGTGAGACTCCAACTCAAAAAAAAAAAGAAATAGGTATGAACATCACCCAAATAGTATAAAAAGACTTTGATTTTGATCGTTTCATAAGTAGAGAAAGACAGATAAATGATAATCATAATCTTAGGTCTCTAAGATTGTAATCTGCAATATAGCTAGAAAATAAACTGGGCAACCATTAGTCTGGGTGTGATCCCAATGCTTTGGGAGGCCAAGGTGGGAGGACTGCTTGAGGCCAGGAGTTTGAGACCAGCCTGGATAACACAATGAGACCCTGTCTCTACAAACAAAAATAAATAAGTAACAAAATTAGCCAGGCATGGTGACACATGTCTATGGTCCTAGCTACTTGGGAGGCTGAGTTAGGATGATCACTTGAGCCAGGAATTTGAGATTACAGTGAACTAGGATCATGCCACTGCACTCCAGCATGGGAGATAGATTGAGACCCTGTCTCTTGAAAAAAAATTATGTGTATTCTATGAAACAGGTAAGACTCACCAATAATAAAAAATTATAATAACTCATGCCAAGCATACTCGTGGAAATCTAAAGTCAATCACAGCATAAGTTATGGATATTTTCTGATAATAAAGGATTTTTTTGGCAGGGAGGAGAATGCTTAGCAGGAACACAGTCATTCTAAAGTCCCCAGGTAGCAAATTACTCTGAAGTTTTATTCTAAGAGATAACTCCCAGCTGGGTGCAGTAATTCACACCTGTAATCCCAGAACTTTAGGAGGCTGAGGCGGGAGAATTGCTTGAGACCAGGAGTTTAAGACCAGCCTAGGCAGCATAGTGAGACCTTGTCTCTATAAAATAATCACTAAAAGACTGAGCTGAAGGATCATCTGAGGCCAGCAGGTTGAAGCTGCGGTGGCTATGAGTGTGCCACTGTACTCCAACCTGGGCAACAGAGTGAGACTCCAATTCAAAAAAATAAAAATTAAATTTGTTGGGTATGATAGTACATGCCTGTAGTCCAGCTACTTGGGAGGCTGAGGTGGGAGGACTGCCTGAGCCCAGGAGTTCAAGGCTACGGTGAGCTGTGATCATACCACTGCACTCCAGCCTAGGCAACAGAATGAGACTCCAACTCAAAAAAACAAACAAAAAAAGAGATGATACCCCTCTATAAAACTCCGCTCTATTCCAATCAGCAGTATTGCCATCTGTCACCAGGCAGATGATAAGCAATGGCAATATTTAGAATATTTAGAGAGTACTGAGTATCAGAATCACAAAAAAAAAAAAATCCTAGTGGGAATCAGCACAGAGGCCCAGATGAGAGGACTTTGTATCCATGTGCCTGTTTGCTATCTCAGTTGTCATAGCATCTTGCCTTCAGAGGATTCAGAAAAGACTGCTCTGTCAGCAGGGAGCTGACAACCTGCTCAAGCCTCAAGTATATGATTGAGGCTGCATTCAGCTGCTCATAATGTTACAAAACTGGGCCAAGGTAGTAAAAGAAAACTGGAGTCTTGCCTAATCTCTTTCATTCAAAAAAGAATCAGCATCAACTCCAAAGTACACTTCAGAGAGCACAAAAACCTAGCAAGTTAGAACAACTTCCAACACTTTAGAGTAAGTCATTTACAATACTGTTCTGCCCTGTCCCAGCTTTAAGTCCTCTGACGACCCATACCCTGAGAGGAGCTCTGGCATATCAACATAAGATATTTGTACAGTTTAAACCACCACACCAGAGCTCTCAACACATACCATAAAGTTCTGCTGGAGAGGGGACCAGGAGTACATGATGGGAACCAATGCGACTGTGTTCAGTGACCTCATTAACATGTGTTGGCTTGCAAATCCCGGGAAAATGCTCTCGATGGTACACTGGAATACAATGAATGACATGGAGAGGGAAAGGCAGGCACACAGTCCATGAGAGAATGATAGTTTCCTTCCAGAATGATCTTAGCAGTCTCCTAATTCTTACAAATTAGTAAGATGAAGGTTTTATAGAAGCAGCTCCTAAAAGAAACCCTCAGACTGCAGTCTTGTGGGAAGCAGGAACTGTCTCTCACTCCCCTCTGGATCCTCTACCGAGTCCAGCACAAGGCTTCCACACCCAGCAGACATTTAATTTCATTAAAACTGCTGGGCTTGGCTGGGCGCAGTGGCTCAAACCTGTAATTCTAGCACTTTGGAAGGCTGAGGTGAGAGGGATTGCCTGAGCCCAGGGGTTCGAGACCAGCCTGGGCAACTTGGTGAGACCTCATCTCTACAATAAATCAATAAAAATTAGCTGGACATGGTGGCACATGCCTGTAGTTCCAGCTACTTTGAAGGCTGAGGCAGGCCAGGCTCGGTGGCTCAACCTGTAATCCCAGCGCTTTGGGAGGCCAAGGTGAGTGGATTGCCTGAGCCCGCGGGTTCGAGACCCACCTGAGCAAGACCTCATCTCTACAATAAATCAAAAATTAGCCAGGCATGGTAGTGTGCACCTGTAGTTCCAGCTACTTGGAAGGCTGAGGCAGAAGGATTGCCGGAGCCCAGTAGGTTGAGGCTGCAGTGGCCAGGAGCGGCCACTGCACTCCAGTCTGGGTGACAGTGAGACTCCAACTCAAAAAAAAAAAGAAGGCTGAGGCAAAGGATAGCCTGAGCTCAGCAGGTCAAAGCTGCAGTGGCTGTGAGCATGCCACTGCACTCCAGTCTGGGAGACAGAGTGAGACTCCGAATCAAAAAAACAAAACAAAACAACACAAACTGCTGGGCCCCTTGAGGTGTACACAGAGTAAAATGTCTCCAAGAGTCCTAGGAGATAAGGGTGAAGAGGAAGAAGTCATCCCAAAGACCTCAACTTTAAGACAGTGGCCACCAGCTTCGCTGCATAGGGACAGTACAGGGGGAAGTTATGTGCCATAGAAATTACAGTACAAGTCAGGTGTGGTGGCTCATGCCTGTAATCCCAGCACTTTGGGAGGCAGAGGCAAGAGGACTGTCTGAGTCCAGGGATTCAAGACCAGCCTGGGCAACTTGGTAAGACTTCATCACTACAGTAAATTAAAAAAATGAGCCGAGCATGGTGGCGCATGCCTGTGGTTCCAGCTTCTTGGAAGGTTGAGGCAGAAGGATCACCTGAGCCCAGAAGGTTAAGGCTGCAGTGGCTGTGAGCATGCCACTGTACTCTAGCCTGGGCAACAGAGTGAGGCTCTGATTTTTTTTTTAAATGGAATTACACTAATTACACTACTATTCTGCTTTGGAAAGATAATTGCTCTCAATACACTGTCTGCTCTTTATAAAATATTATCCCTTAAGAAACTAAAATACTCTTTAAAAATGTATAATAAAGGATGTGCCTTGGATCAACATACTACTGCCCTCTCCCAATATCAGAGTACCCAAGGAGCCAAGTTTAAGACAGAAAGGAGGCTTTAAAGCTTAGACACAGAGTTCAGGATGCAGACAGTAAAGTATTGTTTCTCTATGAGAAACTCATGATTATTATGCTCATTGACAGAGGAGAATAATCGGTGAAGAGGTTCTTCCTGAAGCTATAGGTTTACTATCCCAATTATTCAAAGGTGACAATAATAGCTGTATCCATGATCCTTACTTATTTTCTTTCTAGTAAGTCACAAATGCAGAAAAAAAGCCTTAAGCCCAAGGAAGAGAGGAGCGCTGAGCTCAGTCACCCAGAAGTACCTTTTTGAGAAAAGGGTGTCCACTCACAGGCTTCATTGGCTGAACGGGTTGGACACGAAGCTTCTTCCACTCTTCATTAAGGATCTGGATTTTTTCTTGAACCTTTGTAAAATTTGCCACATACAGAGCCTAGCAAAAACCAGGGAAAAGATTTTTACTGTTTCACAACAAAAATTACCAAAAATTCTAACCCTTCCACATTGGATCAGACTATTGAAATTTATAATCTTTCATTTGGGAATTATTCTTTTACCTTTGCGCCCATATTTGCCTGAAGCCTTTTAAGTTGTCGAAGTCGCATATATTCAGATTTCACTTTTCTTTTCCAATAAGTGATACATTTGGAAGTCGGGGGATTTGGTATATCCATCTTGCTATAATCTAACAGAAACAGATGAGAAATTGTATTTTATTGCCTAAAAATAAAGCACTTCTTCAGTAAAAACACAAAAGGTCAATTATGCTTTCACTTCCATTACATTTACTCATAAAAGCATAAATGTAGAGAACCCAAATATATGAGTTCAACACAAAGTTTCTATTAAAAAAAAGATTTGGCCAGGTACATAGCTCACACCTATAATCCTATAACTCTGGGAGGCCAAGGTAAGAGGACTGCTTGAGCCCAGTAGCTAGAGACCAGCCTGGGTAACACGGCGAGAACTTATCTCTACAATAAATAAAAAAATCAGGCCAGGCGCAGTGGCTCAAGGCTATAATCCCAGCACTTTGGGAAGCCAAGGTGAGAGGATTGCCTGAGCCCACAGGTTCGAGACCAGCCTGGATAACATGGTGAGATCTCATCTCTACAATAAATCAAAAAATTAGCGGGGCATGGTAATGTGCACCTGTAGTTCCAGCTACTTGGAAGGCTGAGGCAGAAGGATCGCCGGAGCCCAGCAGGTCGAGGGTGCAGTGGCCGGGAGCGTGCCACTGCACTCCAGCCCGGGCAACAAAGAAAAACTCTGACTTAAAAAAAAAAAAGAGGGCCAGGCTCGGTGGCTCAGTCTGTAATCCCAGCACTTTGGGAGGCCAAGGAGAGCAGGTTGCCTGAGCCTACGGATTCAAGACTAGCCCTGGCAACTTGGCGAGACTTTGTCTCTACAATAAATTAAAAATTAATTGGGTGTGGTAGTGCACGCCTGTAGTTCTGGCTACTTGGAAGGCTGAGGCAGAAGGATCACTGGAGCCCAGTAGGTCAACACTGGAGTGGCCACAAGTGTGCCATGGCCTAAGTGACAGAGTGAGACTTCAACTCAAAAAACAAATTTTTTTTCAGCCAAGTGTGGTGGCTCACATCGGTAAGCCGAGTATTTTGGGAGGCCAAGGCAGGAGGATCACTTGAGTCCAAAAGTTTGAGACCAGCGTGGGTAACAAAGTGAGATCCCATCTCTACACAACAAAAAAATTTATCCAGGCGTAGTTATACACTTGTAGTTCCAGCTACTCAGGAGGCTGAGACAGAAAGATCAAGTGAGCCTAGGAATTCAAGGCTAAAGTGAGCTATAACTGTGCCCCTGCACTCCAGTCGTGCTGATAGAGACTTTGTCTTTTCAAAAATAAAAATAGATCACCTGAGGAATGGAGGCTCTCAGAGAAGGTGATCTGGTTTAGGGCAAAAAGCTCTGAAACAGAACAGACTTGCATCATGCTTGAAAATACAAGGGAGTTGTATACCTAACCCTTAACTGTACCCCACAATTTTATAATAAAAAATATGTTTAAAAAAGAAAAAAGAAAATACAAGGGAGTAGCCAGGCACAGTGGCTCACACCTGTAATCCCAGAAGTTTGGGAGGCTGAAGTAAGAGGATTGCCTGAGCCCACTGGTTTGAGACCAGCCTGGGCAACTTGGCAAGACCTCATCTCTACAATTAAAAAAAAATAGCTGGGCATGGTGGCACGTGCCTGTGACTCCAGTTACTTGGAAGGCTGAAGTGGAAGGGTCACCCGAGCCCAGCAGGTCGAGGCTGTGGTAGCCATGGGTGTGCCACGGCACTCCAGCCTGGAAAATAGAGCGAGATGCCTACTCAAAAAAAAAGGACCTGGCTTGGTGGCTCAGCCTGTAATCCCAGCATTTTGGGAGGCCGAGGCAGGTGGATTGCCTGAGCCTGCAGGTTCGAGACCAGCTCAGGCAACTTGGCGAGACCTCGTCTCTACAATAAATCAAAAAAATTAGCCAGAGCCCAGCAGGTCGACGCTGGGGTGGCCATGAGCATGCCGCCGTACTTCAGCCTGGGTGATAGAGTGAGAATCCAACTCAAAAAAAAGAAAAGAAAAAAGAAAATACAAGGGAGTGTTGTCACTTTTACAGATAGCACACATCACAAACATAAATGAAATCCAGTATCACTACATATTGATCTTTTCCTTTTCAAATTATTTAAATAAACTTAAGTACACTAAGAAAAATTAGTGTTAGTGAAAAAAATCAATTTATAACATCTTTTTTTTCTTCTTTGAATTGGGGTCTCATTCTATTACTCAGGCAGGAATGCAGTGGTGTGATCACAACTCACTGCAGCCTTGACCTCCTGGGTTCAGACAATCCTTCTGCCTCAGCCTCCCAAGTAGCTGGGACTACAGGCACATGCCACCACATTCAGCTAATTTTTTGTTTTTATAGAGACAAGGTCTTGCTATATTGCCTAGGCTGGTCTCCTGAGCTCAAGCAATCTTCTCTCTCGGCTTGTCCTCCCAAAGTGCTGGGATTACAGGTGTGAGCCACTAGGCTCGGCCTGCGGTACTTTATTTTTAATTTAACACTAAAGAAATTATTTCACTGATATTAACTCTTTGCACTCAGATGTCTCCTCTGAGGGGACATTGTAAATCTAGCAGACTACTCGGATACCCTCCTCAGGGGATGTAAAGAGATTGCTGGTGATTTTACAGGACAAACTCATGCCAGTACACATTTTTCAAAAATGTATATTTCCTTGAAGTCTTCCATTCAAAAACAATGAAAAACCTATGTCCCATTTGAAATTTGTTAAGCTTCTGATTGATCAGTTGAGAAATGGTTTTCAGGAATCAAGAGTGTGTCCTTCCATATCATCTTTGAACACACTGGGACAACAAATTACATATTATTAATGTGGGAGGAAGAAAAAGAGACTGTATTCCTTGTTCTTTTTTTTTTTTTTTTTTTGAGTTGGAGTCTCACTCTGTCACCTAGTCTGGAGTGCAGTGGCCAGCACACACAGCCACCACAGCCTCAACCTGCTGGGCTCAGGCGATCCTTCTGCCTCAGTCTTCCAAGTCGCTGGAACTACAGGCATGTGCCACCATGCCCGGCTGATTTTTTTTATTTATTGTAGAGAATCTTACCATGTTGCTCAGGCTGGTCTCGAATCCTTGAGCTCAGGCAATCCTCTTACCTCCACCTCCCAAAGTGCTGGGATTTTAGGCGTGAGCCACTGTACCTGGCCTGTATTGTCTGTTCAAACAGAAAAGCACCAGGTAGAAGACGTCAAACAAATTACTATTGCACAGCAGGTATCAATAAACCTGCAATGCATGTCAGTGACTGTTGCACATGTTACCACACATCAGGAAAAAAAAAGACATAAAATTTTGATTTTTTTTTTTTTTTTTTTT